ACTGCGATTCTTCGGGCTGGGACTTCAAACCCTCACTCTTGAGCTACACGGTTGACGGTTGTCACCTTGTGCGAATGGTTCAATAAATTTAGATGGTGAATGTTTGTCTAACTTAATAGAGCCAATGATCCCCTTATTGTTTGCTTCGATCATCGGTTGGGTCTATTTTTTAAATCAAACAGTCCTAAATCTATTTTTGTTTTGTGCAAAACATAAGGCATGTTTTTCATCGGACAAATCGCGCATTACATTGTTTCGTATCTTTCTCGTCCTCAATCTGATGTACCAATTTGTGCCAATTTGCGCAACCCGGTTTTGAGTTTTCACAACAAACTATACAAATAGTTGGCAGTTGTGCGATAACTCAAGAGGTCCGCAAACGGGACATACGGACAAGTAGGCACGCATGCACGCGTGCGCGCGCGCACTGTCCGTCAGATCTCGGCCTGGCGGGTGGGTAGGGAAGAGTGAACCGGGTCGGTGTGATCTAATCACCAGTTTGACGTTTGAAGTAGCCACCCGGATTTCCAGTTAGTCAAATAACGATAAGGTGCCGACAGTCAGTCAGCGGAAAATCAGATTTCGTTTTACGTTTGTGGTTGGTAAAAATCCGCGGAGAAGAAAAACCAAAGGTACAGAAAAAAGGAGTTCATTGGAAGATAGAGCGGTTGGGGGTGGAAATGGTCACAGGTGACTGTTGCAATGAATAGATTGACAGCCACAAATTGAAAGATTATCGTAAACATAGGATTCACACTCATCACGGAGGCAGTTGAACTGTCCCCGATCTCTGTTCCGAGTGCGCACCTTCTTCATGGGTACTAGCAATTGGACAGTCGCCAAGGCGAGAGTTATTGACACACGGTACACAAACGGGAGTCAGGAGGGAGATAGCATTCAGGCTGAAAATTGGTCAGTGCAACTATCGTCCCCTCACTCTATCACCTTCCAACCCAAAAATGTTGATACTCTAGATGATGACTGTGTTGAGTAAATACAAAAGCTTTCTATTTTTACCTCACTTTGCATTTATCTTTGTAAGATCTTAATATAACATCGATTTGCCCAATAGAAAGGGTCCATGGGAATGTATCTCTTCAGTATGATAAATAACTGAAAACGTGCATGTTTTTTATTCTGCTACGTTCACGTCACGCAAGATAAGACTGTTCAAAATTGTTTTTCGACGAATCTGAAACCAAGGAACTGAGTAAGCGCGTGAAACGAATCTGTTCTGATGATATTACCTTCGTACATTTACCCGTTATCTAATGAAAAAGGATGGGAAGTACACTATTGTGATCTATCTATCTATCTATCTATCTATCTATCTATCTATCTATCTATCTAACTATCTGTCTCTTTATCTATCTATCTATCTATCTATCTATCTATCTATCTATCTATCTATTCATCTATCTGTCTATATCAAATCTATCTATCTATCTATCTATCTATCTATCTATCTGTCTATCTATCTCACTGTGTCTATCTTATATCTATCTATCTATCTATCTATCTATGTAGCAATCTATCTATATATCTATCTATCTATAGTCCATCGATTGTTTATCTATCTATATATCTATGCATATTTCTGTCTATCTATGCTATAAATCTATCTATCTATCTATGTATCTGAATATCTATCTAACTATCTGTCTATTTATCTATATGTCTATCTATCTATCTATCTATCTATCTGTCTATCTATCTTTCTAGTGATATATCCATCCAATATCTATCTATCTATCTATCTATCTATCTATCTATCTATCTATCTATCTATCTATCTATGTATCTATCTATCTATCTATCTATCTATCTATCTATCTATCTATCTATCTATCTATCGGTGTATCTATCTATCTTTCGGTGTATCTATCTATCTATCGGTGTATCTATATACATATCTTTCTTTCTTTTTATCCATCTTGCCATGGGCAGACCTCATCGAAGGCCGTCTTGTAAGGCCGGTTGTGACTAAGTAGTTAGTCACCAAATCATGACCCGGAAATCCCAGGTTCGAAGCACTCCACCGCAGCCCGTCTTCTTTATTTCTGAATTTCCCCAAGCAGCGTTTGCATGGTGAGCTCCCCCGTTCTTGAATGTTGACTGTACATTTGTATATTCATAAATAAATAGAAAAGGAAGTAAAAGACATTTAGACATATATATATCATTTTATAGTTTCTAATGAATTTTGATTTGCCAGATGTTGAAAGATCAATCCCTGAAACGAATAAAGGAACTAACTGGACTTGTCTTGATGACGACGTAACGGTGTCTCGTCGAACGTTAATGAATAGGACTGTAATTTAGACCTTACAGAAAATTAATATTGAATATGCGCTTATACTGCGGAACAATTAGTATGCATACATTTCAGGTGTGTTTGATTTTGCTTTTTAGGAGAGGCCATAAATCAAACAGTTCGAAATAAAAGGGATAAAGATTTTATCCTTCAATTAGCGCAGCATTCACCAGCACCGAAAGTAGATAGTTAGAATCTTATACTGTCTTGAAAACGGAGTTCATGCATGCCGTTAAGTAAATAAAATAATAATAATGCTAATATTAATACCAAAATACCAAATGAGCTTGTGGGGAACCAACGATCTCGTAAGGAGTAAACCCCAAACCGAAGACCATCCTGAGCACCCGGTGCCTCTTAACAATCGAATGGGCTAATCCAAGCTTGCTACCGTACAAATGTCTTATGCTTCATTTTTATTTATTGAATATACAAATTTACACTCAACATTCAGGAAGGGGGGCACCTTTCATGCAAAAGCTGCTTGGGAAAATTCAGAAATAAGGAAGACGGGCTGCGGTGGAGCGGTTCAAACCTGGGATTTCCTGATCACAATTTGGTGAACTAACCGCTTGGTCACCACCCGCCTTAAGTGGCCCTAAAAAGAGCCGTGGAAGCGTTCTCTATCCGATAACGCACAGCACTTGATCTATTTCGTGCCGGTGTGCTTGATCACCGTCTTGGTACCCTCGGAGACAGCATGCTTGGCCAGATCCTCGGGCAACAGAAACCGAACTGCAGTTTGGATTTCTCTACCCGTGATGGTCGAGCGCTTGTTGTGGTGAGCAAGTAGTTTGGACTGGCAATACACTCAAAAATGTCATTGACGAACGAGGTCATGATAGACATGGTTTTCGTGGAGATTCCGGTGTCGGGATGAACCTGAGACAACAGCTTGTAGATGTAGGTTGCGTAGCTCTCCTTCCTCCGGCGCTTCTTCGTGTCAACCTTCGGTACCTTGGCCTTCGAGGCCTTCTTCGCTGCTTTGACCGAAACAACGCTGGGGTCCATTGAGTAGTGGATAACTTGGTGGAACACAAATACGGTGAACTATCGCTTCACTTCACGTATACATTCCGGCTCCCAACTATGGAACAGGGCATCAGTGGTCAAGTGGATAGACTTGTCCACTTCTCACCCCGGGAGAACGTGTGTACCAATCCCATCAATGCCGCCTACCAACATTCGTCATTTTTACGTGAGACAGATATTCGATTGGTCACTCCCCCTTTCTGAACACCACTTGAGTAAATATGTATATTCAAGTGAAGGAAGAAAAAGTGGAAAAGCAAAGAAAACTATGCCAATAATCACTTTCATTTGAGAAACACCATGCATAGGTCTCAGCAAGTACCTGTTTGCCCACCAACCGTGCTAAATGTTGTTGCAACTGATCTAATGAGAGAGTAACAGGTCACAAACCCGTAAGTACCTGTATTCCTGTCCGTCGGGACCGGAATACACCGATTAATTATCTAGCATTCGTAAACCCTTTATATCCGTGAAATTTGTCCATGGGGTTGGAGGCGAGAAAAGGAATGAAGAAAAGGCAAATTGGGCAGTAGTGTCCAGTTGTAAATGAATTGGCTAAAAAAGACTTTCAAAGTGCTTCCGCTGAACATCTGCATTATCAATGCAATGCATTGGATGATGTGAATGTTCACAACAAACGAATTGTGTCAAGTTTCTGAAGGTGCCCCAACCTGACAGTTTCACATGGAAAACTGCTCGAGGCTTAAATGGGACATGCATTTGCGTCTCGTCCTAGACTCCGGCATGATCGGTGCCCAGGCTTAACACCTCAAAGCTCTTGGATTTGCTCATAATTTTATCTTTCAATATGCACTCCTTTATCCATCTGTCTCTCTGTATATTCCACTAGCTCCTGACCAATTAACACAAAATATGCCAAACACGAACGGCATTGATGACACAATTCTAATCATGACAACAAATGGATCTTTATGGGGATCGGTAGAATCACCCGGAGTAACCGTTCAGTCTCATTGGTTGCTTGTTCATGATTACTACAGTTAAGGGGGACGCAGCAACTCGGAAAGCAATGCGTTTCTCTGTGTGT